CAGTCAAGATTTCATCCAGAAAGGTCTTATTTGTTACTTCTCAAACATATCTATCTGGGAAAAGCCCCCAAGTACCCCACAGGTGAGGCTCCCCTGGGAGGAGGGGGCACCCTCGTCTGCCAGCAGAATGGTGGCTGGGTTACATCAGTGAGAAGGGGCCTTGGAATGAGCTGGGTTGACTCCCTGAATGTACAGACAGAACCTGAGGCCTAGGGAGAAAGGACCTCCTCGGGTGCCACAGTGGCTAGGACAGGCAGCCTGAACTGGGGTCCTTGTTCCATCCCAGGGGAACCCAGAGCCCCAAACAAGCCTCCTTCCCCTGGCAGGCAGACTCACCAGGAGATGGCTGTGTCCCGCTGCCTCTTCTGGCCTGGCTGGGCAGGGCTGAGTGTGGGCTCTCGAGCCATGTCTAAATCTGAAGAGAGAACAAGAGAGTAGGCAGAGCATGAGAAGAGGGAGAGAGGGAGGGGTACAGGAGGAAGGGCCAAGTGCACGTGGGCTCCAGCTTGCTTCCTGGGCTGGCCCTTCCCTGCACTTCAGCTCTGAGGTGGGCAGTGCACCCTGAAAGACAGTAATGGGTAGCATGGCCTGGCCTCCTGTGGACCCTGGGTCCGCCTACCCAGGGCTGGGCTTGGGCTTAAGAGGGACCACCTTCATCCTCAGAGGACCATGGTGCTGAGATGAAACCCCACCCTTGGGTATCAACCACGTGAGAGAACCTTGGGAGAGAACCACTTACCTCCCACCAGACAGATAATTACAAAAGAGACCCCACACCGTGGGTATCACCCCCATCTCCCAGGCCCTGGAATTTAGGGGTGGTATCATCAAAAGGCAGGAGGGGTAATGTCTGCGATCCTCACGTCCTCCGAGGAGACGCCCAGCCTTGGTCCACGTTAATTCTTGAGTGTCCTCCTGCTGCCTGTCTGCCCACACACTTGCCTGCTCCGCTGCCAGGGCCACACCCCACAGCTGCCTCTGGGCTAAATAAGCCCCTGGGCCGGCTGCGTCTGAAATGGCTGGGTGCTCCGAGTGAGAAACCAAGCGAGCAGCCAGCCTTGATTGGCAACCCAATGGCCATGAGTGATTTTTCCCATTCAACCCAAATGCTGGTCTCATGATTGACTTTACATCCGTCATCTCATTAAATCCTCACAGCAACCTCCCGGGGTAGATGCTAACAGTACCCCCATCTTGTAGAAAGGCTCCTGTACGCGTCCAGGATCACGTGGAGAGCAAGTTAGGAGACCGATGAGATCTCAGCCCCCTGCCTCACAACCACTGCAGTGCTCTTAGAAGTTAGAGGACTTACTCAAAGATACTCGGCCACAGGCAGAGCCTGGTTCTGTTGGTGCCGCCAGGTCACGCTCATGCTGCCATTGCACAGGGCTGCTCCGTTACCTGCTCTACCCTGTACAGAACCCAGTGGCTGGTGCGGCCCCTTGTTAGAGCATGGGGCTGACAAGGCCAGCGCTGTAGGCTGGAGTCCTGGCTGCACCAGGTGACTTCTCGCAGTATACATGAGTCATTCTTTTGTCCACTCCACATCTGACCCCCCCTCCTGTGTTAGAGGTATCCCCAGCTTTGAAGCAGAACCTGCCTCCCATGAAACAAGCTGAAAATGCCCCTTTCTGCCTCCCTCCCTTGCAGCTAGGGCCTGGGCACATTGCTTGGCCTCTCTAATCAGGCCCGCATGCCCAGCTTTGAATTAAAGCTGCTGATGTGAAGAAGCACACCTCAGGAATTGATGGTGGCAGTGACAGCAGCTACATCCAGCTTTCAAAGGTGCTGGGACCTCCATTCCTCATTGGTGGTTCTGACTGTGGCATCGGTTCCCAGCAGGAGCATTAGGTCTCTTTTAGATCTGACCCTCCAACGTTCTGGATCTCCTGGGAACTAACCAATATCTTCAACACATTCCTTTTCTACTTAGAGTCTCCAGAATCTGTTTCTGTTGCTTAAAACTAAGAATCTTGATTGATACAAAAATAGAACTAGGAGTGGATGGAGCAAGAAGCCCTGAGGGAAAGAGGGGATGATGTAAGGCTGGCAAGTGGTCAGAGGACAGTGAAAATCCAGCTCATATTAAGGGACAGGACACCAGCAGCCCATGGCATGCATGGTGAGGCAGTTAATCCTACTATCCCCCAGAACAAAGTACCCATCAAAGGCATGGCTTTGGAGGCCTGGTGCTCCTGCCGTAGAAGAGTATAAAGATAACCCTGAAGTCAAGGGCTGTTGGGCAGGGTGTTGTGCTAATGGCACCACACAGCTCAAATGAAGGAAAGAACGCTCAGAGTCCAAATTCTCAGCTCAAGGCATGGTTAGAAAACCAGGAAATTTTTATAACTTGCAACTACAGGGCTGAGAGAGTAAACCAAACTTAAAGCTTGACCAATGGTTATAAAATGACACCATTTGTAGCTTCACACTCTTGCTAGGTGGGACAGGGAGGTGTTTTAGGGTGACCAACTGCCCTGGTTTGCTTGGCAAGAAGGGGTTTCCCAGCATGTGGGACTTTGAATACTAAAACTGGGACAGTTCTGGGAAAAACTGGTCCCCCTCATTATTTAACAACTTGCCAAAAGTTACACAGTAAGTGTCAGAGCCTGGCGTCAAATTCAGGTCATCTGACTATAGACTGAAACTCTTTGACTCTCTCTGCCAGTGGTTCTCAAACCAGAGCGTGCATTTGATATAGCTAGAGGCCTTATTAAAACCCATATAACCCGTCTCACCTTCAGAATTTTCCCTGGACAAAGCTAGATTTGGGGCAGCTGAGAATTTGCTTTTCTCACAGATTCCTAGGTGATGCCAGGGCTACTGGTCGGCAGACCACCATGGAGAACCAAGACATTATGCTAACTTGCCTCTAGACAAGAAGGTTGCAATGGACATATCGGGTAAGACCTGTTAACTGCCACCTCCACCCATGAATCCTGAGACAGCCCCAGAGGCGTGTCCTTTGCTATGGCCTTGAGAAATACACTGATGAGCCCAGCTGGTGTTGCTCAGTGGCTGAGCATCGACCCATGCACCAAGAGGTCACTGGTTAGATTCCCAGTCAGGGCACGCTCTCCCCAGGACTGCAGTCTCCATCCCCAGTAGGGGGCATGCAGGAGGCAGCAGACTGATGTTTCTACCTCTCTTTACCTTCCCCTCTCTCTAAAAATCAATAAAAACATATTTAAAAGAAAAAAAGAAATACACTGATGAGAGACATGTGGTAGTGGCAGGAATGCTGACCAGAGAGGCAGCAGCTGAATGGGAATCCACCCAGTGACATGGAAGTCCACCCAGACTGGCTTTGCAGCAGAATTTGGGCCACTATTTCTGGCCACATAGGCGCTCAGCCTGGCTTCTGACTCTCCCCGGGATCCTTTGACCAACCATTATCCTTTTTTCTTTTTAAATTGAGGTGAAATTTTCAGAGCATGATGTCAATGTGGTGGCATTTAGTACATTCACAGTGTGGCGATTTATCTAAGTTCTACAACATTTTATCATTCCAAAATCAAACCTGTACCCATTAAGCAGCTATTGCCCATTCTCTTGCCCCTGGCAACCACCAATATGCTTTACTTCAATGAATTTTCCTGTCCTGAATATTTCATATAAATGGAATCATGCCTTTTGGCTATCGTGAATAACGCTGCTGTGAACTTTGTGTGTAGGGGTTTGTTTGAGTTCTTGTTTTCAGTTCTCTTGGGTAATACCTATGAGTGGAATTGCTGGGTCGTATGGTAATTGTGTTTAACTTTTTGAGGAACTGCTAAAAGTATCTTTCACAGTGGCTGCACCGTGGCACGTTCCCACCAGCAGCATATGAGGCTTTCAGTTGGTCGACACCTTCATCAGCCTTTGTTGTCTGTTTCTTTGGAAACAGCCGTCCTAATGGGTGTGAGGTGTAGCTCATCGTGATTTTGATCTTCATTTTCCTGAGGACTAGTGATGTTGAGCATCTTTTCATGTGCTTGTTGGCCATTTGTGTGTCATTTTGGAGAACTATCCAAGTCCTTTGCCCATTTTTAAATCGTTGTCCTTAGGATAAATTCTTTTTCTGCCATGATGAGCCAGAGCTTTTTCTATTGGTTGCAACTAAGAATTGTGATTGATACACTTCTCCCCATCCCATGGTCCCAGGCCACACTTCCACCTCTAACCAGCAAAGCAACTCGCCATGGGCACACAACTGTGTGCAAGTGGGCCACAGTACATTCTGGACACTAATGATAGTGCTTGCCTGGGTCCTCTCACCACTGTGGGAAGAGGAGGGATAGGGGGCCATAACAGACCTCAGTGTAAATAATCACAAAGAAAGAAGAAGCACGTGGAGCAGAGACAAAGCATAAAGGGAGAGGGTGTGAACAGAAACATAAAGACGACAGAGGCCGTGATGAGAGGAGCTGGAGCAGGAAATTAGGGATGCAAATGAGGCTTCTAAATCTATGCATTATTCAGGGACTAAGAACCTGAAAACATACAGAGGGTGGCCTGGGTCACTTGGGGAGCAGGGAAAGGACCAGGGTGGGCAGGAGGCAACTGCAGTGGAGCCTCAGGCACTCTCTGGTCTCCCAGGGTCCTCCTGGCTCATCTGAATTCCCCTTCAAAATGAGCATTCACAGGTTTAGCTGTTTCATAACTTAGTTTAATCTTTTGTGGGTTGTATCCTGGGCAGCGAGGAACCTCCATCTGCCCCAGAAGGTCCAGCCCAGATGGAGGAGGGGGTCTTGTCTGACCCCTGGCCTTGGCTCCTGTTTCAGCACCTAATTGAGGCCCATCTTCCCAATCAAAAGCAGGCTGAGGAGCCCCAGTCTCCCCTCTCCCTATGCCAGGCTTCCTGTTGGCCCTGCCCAACTTCCTGCAAGGTCTGGGACCTCTTTGGATGCTGGGCTTGGGGTTCTGGCCTGGCCCTTGTTCCAGACTGATGGGCAGACGAGCAGACAGGCAAGCAGGGCTGGTATACCAAGGCAGTGGCAGGAGAGAGGCATGGCCCTGTCTCAGGGCCCTGGGTCCCACCGGGAAATGTGCTCCTGAGCTGAAAAGGAAGCAGAACAGAGTGAGGGTCAATGGCAGTCCAGCAAGTCCTGGGATGGGGACCCTGTTGCACTTGGTCCAGAAGTACCCATGGCCATGGTCCCATGTGTAGCTCTAGACTCTTCTAGCAGGTGCTGCTGGGAGCCAGTTCTGGGCTAGGCTTCACCTCTGCCCCCCACCAGAGTTCATTGGGCTCTAGAGAATCAGGTAACATTGAGGAACCCAACAGATCCCCAAATAGCAACTTTAGTGACAGGAGGAAGGGACCTTGGAGAAATCCCCGACCAGACTTTACTTTCGGTCCTGCCGCTGTGTGGATGTGCTGTGTGAGGCTGGGCCCATCTTCCCTTCTGGGCCTCTCAGGTGCCCACCTTGAGCAGAGCATTCTCGAAGGCCCCGTGTGATCGGACACTCTCTAGGCCTGTGATCTGGATATCCTGGCAGCCTGGATTGGACCAGCAGCTACCCAGGGGACAGGGACCACAGGAGGGGAGCTGTGGGAGGGTCCTCACCAAACTGGCAGATGTAGCGGTTTCGGGTTTTACAACGTTGGTCATTCCAGTTGAAGGCGGATGAGGCCTGCAGCTCCACGCAGTTGCCAAACCTGCTGGGCCGCGATGGCAGGTGCTCAGGAGAAATGACATTAGGGGTCTGGGAGAGGCTTAAATCTTCCTTCCCAGCTGGCCACCTGCGTCTAAGAGGCCTCAGAGCCTCTCTCCTGTATGTGGGGCTTCTGGGAGTCAGGTCCAACCCAACCTCCCACCCCTGCTGCCCAGACCTCTGCAGCTCTTAGGGGAGCCGGGAGGTCCTGGCACACCCCCTACCTGGGGTAGCAACTCCACATACCCACTGCCAGCACTCAGCCACACCAGCCTGGAACAGACAGGCCCGTGTCTTCCCTCTCAGCAGGGAGAGGTGTGCCTGGGAGCCCAACCAGGCTGACTTCCTCTAGGTGATGGGCCAGGGGCACAAGCCTGGCTGTCGTGAAGGAGGTCGAGGGAGGGCTGGGCGAGATAGTTGGAGCCCTGGATGGCCACACAACCTGACTACCTCCACCCCATCACCACTGCCCTGGGTATTCCTGGGCTATGAAGACCAGGGCAGGGCCACATAACCACAAGGCCCTCAGTGCAGGCTGGCTGGTGGGTGGATGCTGTGTGAATGGATGCAGGTGGGTGGATAGCTACAGAATTCAGGATTTAGTGTATTGATACAAGAAGAGGGTTGGGGAGGGGGAATGGATAACAGATGGAGGGAACCATGGGGACAGGTGGATGGACAAAGCCTTTTTGGGTTCCCTTTCCTTATGTGAACACTTGGAGGTCTGAGACATGCCTCACCTCAGCACGGTGCCCACACCCAGCTGTGCTCTGACTTCCTGGGCACCTGGGTATCAGGTGAGGTTCAGACCCTCAGAGGGCTCAGCCAGGCAGCAGGCTGGGTAGAGGTTCTTCACTGGCGTCTAAAGACTTAGCAAGCAAGCCCCAGGGAGAAGGTGGGCCCAAGGGAGAAAGCAGGCACCCCAGACTCACCCCTGGTTGTCAGGCTGCCCAAAGGCAAAACTGGTGAAGGAATGGTGCTCCCCAGTGGCCCAGCGGAAGGAGTCCTTAGCGGTCTTGTAGGTGAGCCCTGGTCCAGGGCAGTCAAAGTTGGCCCCATGACCCAAGAAAGGAAGGCCCTGAGCCCTACATCTAAGAGGCCTCAGAGCCTCTATCCTGTATATGGGGCTTCTGGGAGCCTGCTGCCTCATCCCTCTCTGGTCCCAGCCCTTACACCCCCTTCCCAGCTCTCCCATCTGCCTGATGGTTCTCTCTCACTTCAGCCCTCTCCCCAGGGAAGGAGGTTGCCAGTCTGACTACTGGCCCCATTCAGGCTCTGAGCCCTCACCACACCCTTACTATCTGCTGGTAGGTGCTCTGGGTTTCCACGGCCCAGATTCCTGGAGCACTGTGTGGCATCCCAGCCCCCACACTCACCGATCCAGAAGTTCCTGGTCTCAAAATCCCTGTCGGTCACCTCGTTGGTAGTCTCCAAGTGGCTCAGGTAAAAGGCGAGGATGTCCTGTACTTTCTGGCTCTTGATCTGGGCTAGGACCCCGCCCTTTCCCTGTAACCCCCACTCTGGGTCATGCTGGCAGAGACCCAGAGCTCAGGCCAGTCCTTCCTGCCACCCCACCATGGCCATGAATAACAAATATGTGTGCTGGTTGTGCTGTTGTCATTCCCCACCCCACAGCCTTCTACCTCTCCCCTGCCTGCACATGGACCCAGACTGGCAGGGTCCTACCACTAGAAGGGTTTTGTTTGAGTTGGCCTCCAACATTAATAAGTCTAGAGATGCCAATGAACATCTGGATTTCTGGTTCTCCTGAAAAATCCTGAGTTCTGGCCTCCCAGAACTCATATTCCTGCTGGCAGCCAGCAGCTGGAGCTGAGTCAAGACAGCTCTTTAGATGATGGTTGAGTGGGACCTTGTCCCTTGTCCCTCAACTCATTAAATAACCTCTTGGTTTCCATGGGCCGCTGAGTGGACCCCCTGCTTTATGCTAATGAGGACAATCAGGTCAGAAGATGTTGAAGGAACCACCTCTTAGTCCATGGTCCCTGCATTAAGACTCTCACTTGAGACCCTAGAGGTGTCCCTGGGAAGGCAGGGGTCAACTGTCACCTGGCATTTCATCTTGGCTCCATAATAGGTGTCTGCCTCTGAAGACACCATGAAACAGTCTCCATCGATCCTCAGGTCACAGGTGTGGAAGGGAAAGTGCACCTTGGCTGGGGAGAGGGGAGCATGAGTTTGTGTGTGGGGATCTCCTGTCAGAATTGTTACCCCTCCCACCCTGCTAGGGAGCTGATCTCAAGGTACCACCCACTGGAGAGTGGGTGGGGTCAGTGATGTGCTGGTAAATGTGTAACAACCAGCTCTCTGCTTAAAAAAAATCTGTAATTTATAGCATTTGCCAACTTCTGTGGTGTAAATACCCATACCATGGCGCATTTCAAGCTACCAATGTCACTGAACATTGGAATTGGGAAGAGATGTATACAATGGGCAACTGTGAGGTGGTCTGAGCCAGATCCAACACCCTATCGAGGGGGTCCTGGGAGGGGCCTGGCTTGTTGAGGGCCTTGAGTCAGGACTCACTGGCACACTGGGCTCCCCCGTAGCCAACGTCACAGATGCAGGAGCACTCCTCTTCCCGGAACCTGCCGTGCACACACTGCACGCTGCACCGCACTGCCAAGATGGTGCAGGAGAGGACCGTGCTCAGCCGCAGCCCCTGGACCCCATGCTGCCCCTCACAGGCTGTGGACATGCAGGGACTGGCCAACCACAGAGAGATCACACCTCTCAGGGATGGAAGCCACAGGGCTTCCAACTGCTGCCACACTTGGCATCTTTGGTTTGATCTTGTAGAGAAAAGCAAATTGCGATTTGGGGAGGTGACCTGCCCATGGTCACAGAGCTGGGGAGGAGGGACAATGAGAGAAGGATCTACATCTGAGTCCTAATTCTGTCTTCCACCACCTCAGGGCCTATGGGGCCATATCTGACTCCATTTAGAATCTTCTGCACAGCTTAGGGTCTAGCAGACAGTCAGAGCTCAATGAATGCTTGTTGAATGATTACATGCAGTGTGCAGATCAGCAGGTACATGGTCAGCACCCCTAGCACACTTAATACTCCCTTGAAACTCAGTGAGTGCAAAGCAGCCCCTGGACACTCCCCCAGGATGGGGGATGCCTGCATGTGTGCCTGGCCTAGTGAGTGACTCCACTCATTGGGTCTCTCAGGCTGTTGTGATCTGGAATTCCAGGTGCTCCTCACCTTGGCAAAATCTGCCCGTGTAGCCAGGGGGACAGTGGCAGTGGCAGGTGCTGATGTTGAGATGTCCATGGTTCCGGCAGCTCATGCGACATGGATTCCTGGGGACCTCTGGTCACATAAGGAGGAAACTCTGAAAGGGGACCTCCTCCAGGCAGGTGCCTTCCAGGGTGCTGAGGCCCAGGACTTCTGGGACAGCCCCTCAGGATGCTGCCACCTTCCTCTAATCACCAGATCGAGTTCTCACATACCCATTCCCCCAGGAGGAAGCAGGCAAGGTGGGCGCTTACCACAGAGCCCCCCTGCATGGTCCCAGGCTTTGAAGCAGCCTGAGACGCTGGCTGTGCAAAGCGAACACCAGGCGCCTTTCTTATAGGGGGCGATTGTCTTCCCGTTGACCTCCCAGTTGCCTCTGTGAGAGCAAGCATCAGAGGGCTGGAAGGGCTTGGTTTTGGGCAAGGCCAGGGTGAGCCTTGCTGCCTGCCTCACCCGCCCCTTCAGCTCCTTCTGGCTCAGCCAGAGAGTCAGGGAGCTGGGTGAGACTGGGAGATTTCCTAGGAAAGAAGAGAGGACCTCCAAACGAACACTGGGAAATCCCCTGAAAGAGGTGTGCTTCGAGGAAGAGGTGTCTGAGGAGACTCCACATTCTGCATGGCCAGAATCGTGGGTGCTGCCACATCTGCACCAGATCCCTCACCCCCTTCTTCCCTTTCCCACAAGGGTATAGACCTAGACATAAATGTCTTTTGGGTGAGTGGGTAGGCATCTCTCCAAGGGTGAAAGTATCCTCCCCACCCCAGCCCCAACAGCCCAGCAGTGGTGGGGGCTTACCCAGGAGAGTAGGCACAGACAAAGGCTTCCATCTCGGCCTGGTCCCCAGAGCAGGGATGTTGCCCACAGCCTAGCTGGCTTGAGGTGGCCCACACGAGCTGTGGGAGACAGTATCTCAAAAATCCTATTGTGCCACCCCCAACCTGGAGCCAACCAGATAATGAATGGCTATTCTCTTTATAACTAACTCATAATATAAACTTTGCAACACAATTTTTATTTTTATTTAAAAATTTTTTTAAAAAATGTTTTTATTGATTTCAGAGAGAGGAAGGGAGAGGGAGAGGGAGAGATAGAAACATCAATAATGAGTCATTAATCGGCCGCCTCCTGCACGCCCCCTACTGGGGATCGAGCCTGGAGCCTAGGCATGTGTCCTGACCCGGAATCTAACCCTGACCTTCTCTCAAGAAGAAACAGAAAATCTGAAATGATCTGTGACCACTTCTAAAAGTTGAATCAGTAGTTATAAATCCACACATACATACACATACATGCACAAAACAACCAACCAAAAAATAGAACAAGGCCCAAATAGTTTTTCAAGAGTTACAGCAAATATTATAGAAATTATTCCAGGAAATAGAAAATGAGGCAAAGCTTCCAACTCATTTTATGAGGTCAGTATCACATTGCTATAACCCTGGTAAGGGCAGTAAAAGAAAATCAGAAGACAATTTCACTATCAAATAATATTTAGCAAACCAAATCCAGCAATGAATTTAAAAAAAACAATGCCCGCTCCATCACATCATTTCACATCACATGACATGCAAAGTAGGCAGATACTCAAAGTATTTAACAAACAGTAGGCATAGGTACTTGCCAATCAAAACAGATGCTGGGCAGGAGCAGAATTCCTTAGCCCCCTACTGTGCCCAGCATTCATTCTCTTTTAATCCTCACCTGAGGATATGTTCTTATTGATTTTTAGAGGGGGGGGGGCACTGATGTGAGAGAAACATTGACCAGTTGCCTCCTGTTCATGCCCCGACCGGGGATCGAACCCACAACCTAGGTATGTGCCCTGCAAAAAGTAAAACCACACAAATGGGAGGAAAAGCAACCACTAATTTTAGGACAAACTCTAGCCCTTCTGAGCTGACCCCCACAGCTCAGGGGCCTCGGAGCCAGTACCCTGGCCTCACCTGAGTGTAGTGGGTGCAGGTGGCATTGTGGGCACACTCGGCCGCAGCATGGCTGTACCTCTGGCCCTCTGCGAACCACAGGCCCACCACGTGGAGAAAGGATGCCGAGCCCACAGGCAGCAGCTGCACATTCCAGCCCACATGTGAAGTGGCCTGGTGGGTGGATGCCAGGCTTGGGGCAGGGGCACCACAGAGGGCCGCCCTTGCCTGAGCCTGTCGGGCTAGGCTCTCACTCCAATCCTGGATGCGGTACAAACAGAGACATCAGCAGGGGACCCTCCCTTGCCATCTCCCACTCATTCCCAGTGGCTAGACCTGAGGAGAAGAGAGGGGGTGAAGGATCTGGTGCAGATGTGGCAGCACCCACGATTCTGGCCATGCAGAATGTGGAGTCTCCTCAGACACCTCTTCCTCGAAGCACACCTCTTTCAGGGGATTTCCCAGTGTTTGTTTGGAGGTCCTCTCTTCTGTCCTGCTTGGCTGCCTGACTGCTCTGAGCGGGTTTTACCCACTTCTCTGGGGCCAGGGAAGGTCAGACAGGACCTGCATGGAGTTCTCCAAGGTGTGTTGGAAGAAGCCCCAGTGCTGTCTGGATCCCCAACCCAGAGCCTGCTCTACCCAGGACTTTGAGCCTCCACCCTCCTGACTCTCATGTGGGCACCCTTAGGCCCAGACCATGGCACTACCACCCTGAGGGGGGGGTGCTCTGGAGGGAGACGTGCCAGCCTAGGCGATGGGATGGGCTCTGCAGTAATTCTTCCCACCTGGTAATGTGAGCCCTGGGCAGTGCTCCAAGCCTTTCACACGGGTTCTGTGTTTGCCCTTAGGGACACCTGGCCTTGGCCATTGTCAGAAAGGCTCAGCTGCTCCCACATGGCTTCCCTTCTGTGATGCCAAACGCTGTAGCAGCCATACCTCTGGGTCCTATTCCCCCACCCGGCCTTGGAGTGGGTAGGACACCAACAGGGAAAGAGGACCAGCAAGGGTGTTAGAAGCTTCCTGGGCCCCAGTGCTTTGGTCCCAGAGAGCAGAGTTTTCTGGAGCAGGTGTAATCTGCTTTCCCTACCCAGGCACTGGGTGACCTTCCCCCACCCCCCACCCAGCAGGACCCCCTCCCATGAAACAAGGTCCTCTGTAGTCAGGATAATATGCATCACCCAGTCACCATGCCCTGGTCCAGCCTAGCCACCTCATTACAGCTGCCCCCTAATCCTCCATGAGACTCAACGTCCTCTCTGTAAAATGGGGACACTACGGTACCTATAGGCTGAGATTGCCATGAGGATTAAATGGATGCAGGGAGGAGAGTGCTGTGCTGAGGGCCTGACCCACAGCAGGCCCTGGGCAGGGGGCCACAGTGATTTTACTGCTGATGTGGCTGGAGCTGGGAGCAAGGGCCTCAGCCCCAGTGGACAAAAGCCTTACAAGCCCGCCAGAGGGCCAAAGCCATAGGTGTGATGGAAACTGAGTGGGGACTTCATTTGCACCTTTTATGAAATACTGTTTTCTAAGACTTTGGCTAAAGGGGCATGAAAAGTGTAGAAACTGCTGAGGGCTGGGAATGTGGGGAGTGGGGATGGGAACCAGGACCTGGGCCTGAAGGAGGGGCAGACCCTCTGCAGAGCAGAGAAAGGGGAAGAAGTGACCCCCTCCCATCTGCCTGTTCCACCCCCACCTCCTGGGAAACTGACCCAGGAGCTCTCAAGGTCACCACTGCTCAGCCACGGAGGAGGAGTTTGTGGGAGGCAGCCATGGGGAACCCGTGCCCGCCCCCACCCAGTCCCTCCCTTGCTCTCTGGCCTGTTAACAGGGGCTGGGGCAGCTGAGGTCCTACACTATTGGGGCAGAGTTTCTGGGCTCAGGAAGACACCTCCAACCCCAAAGCCCCAATCAGGGGTGATGGGAAACCCTACGCCACCTACCCCAGCCCCAGTGAGTGACGAGCAGGGAACTTGGAGGGGCCCCTCCTAGCTGCCCAGACAAACCCATGAAGAAACACTGGGTCCTAGTCCCACACAAGCCCCCTCCCCTGAGCAAGATGCTTCTCCCTCCCCTCCCCAACCCCTCCATCCTGCTGGGACTTCTTTGTGAAGCTCCTCCTTCCATGCCTCCTGGTCTCCAGGACAACGGGATGGGATGCGAGGGAAGGCCAAAGGACTGCCCTTCTGGGAAGCAGGAAGCTGTGGAGCCCCCGGCAACCAGGCTGGGTCCCCACTGCAGGCAAGGTGACTGGCTGCCCCTTCCGCCCTGCCCAGGTGGAAGGGCACCTGGTGCCGGCATGGCCTTCTGAGCCCTCTTCATGGCTGCCCCTCCAGCCACCCCAACTGTGGGCCCAGGCCGGGGTACTCACCATTCTCTGCATGTTGGCTGCAGGGGGGTGCACCTGGCTCCGCAGGCGGTTGTGCAGGGAGAGAAGCAGGAAACTCTCCTTTGTGCTCAGGGCTGGGATGGGAGACAAGGTCAGGCCCACCTGTGCTTGGGCCCGCCTCCTGGGTGATTGGGTTTGGGTGGGGGGTCACCATGTCAAGATGAGAATGCAGTCCTGCCCTTAGGAAACAAGGCCTAAAGTGGGACAGGAGGATGGTGCACGTATGTGGGAGGACCTGGAGCAGAGAGATGGGGGAGACTAAGAGGTGGAGAAGAGTCAGGGTGAGAGAGAGAGGTGTAAAGGAGCGCTTGGGTTGAGAGCTGGGGGGTGGGCGAGATAGAGGGGAATAGGGACTTGGGGTTGGGTGTGAGAAGGGGCCAGCACTGGGCTCTCAGAAGCCCCCTGGCTGGAGCTCCTCTTGGCCACTTTGTCTCTCCTAGGGCCCCAACTGCAAACTCTAGACCCTATTCCTCCTTGACCCCCAAGCCTGGGCCTACTCCCCTTCATTCTTCCTCCTCCCCACCCCATGCATCTCTGCTCCTGGACTGACTGTGTGTTGCTCTTTAAACCATACCACCATGGCCAGGGCTCAGGCCTTGAACCAGCTTCCAGAAGCCACTAGCACTCCTCTGTGGTGGTCATAGCTCCTCCACCTTTCCTCACCCGGGGCCCCTTACCTCCGGGCATTGGAGCCTGCTTCTCCTGCAGCTGGAGTGGCCGTACCTCTGCCCAGGCCATGCAAAGGAGAGCCACGAGCATGGGCAGGAGGCCAGGCCAGCGGCCCCCCGCCCCAGAGGAGGGCTCCAGCAGTAGCATGGGTCTGTAGGGCGATCCGGGAGCGGCCTGGTTCAGCCGTCCAGTGTCCAGCTTGCTTCACAGGCTGGATGGAGCTATTCACAATCTTGAGGAGTCAGGCTGGGCTGGCAGACAAAAGGAGGAGTCTGGTGAGTAATCATTGTGTCCAAACAGCCTCCCATCCGGGCTGGCATGAAAAAAGACAGATAGCTGCAATCCCAGCCGCCCCTCCAACAGCCGACCTACCAACCAAGTGGTGTGCACTGACCCCCGTGGCCCCTGCTAATCATTGCAGGATTATTAGAGCCCTCAGGGAGCCCTTGGAGCCCTTGCTGATTGGCCCACAGACATTCCAGGGCTGCGGATTAACAAATGATGGCGGTGCCCTGGCTGGGACAGTGTCCTTCATCAGTGGCTTCCACTCCCAGCTCCAAGCCCAGGCAGGAGGTTGGGGCCTCAGCCATGTGCCCTGCGTGAGGGCAGGAACTGGGCAAGACCCCAAGGGAGTTCTTTCTTTTCTTGGGAAGCTGGTCCCAACCCCCAGCCATGAATTAAACATGGGCAGGTGGTAACTGTACACCAGACAGGTGCCATTGGTGGGTGGGGGCACTGGGGCTATAGGCTTAAGGGAAGTGGCCTGGGGCTGCACCTTGGGAGGAAAAGAGTGCTGTGGACAGCCTGTCTGGGCAGTGTGGAGGGCTTC